GTCCCCTCGGAAATACATTTGTACGACCACGTGTAATTAGTAATTAAAGAATATATTATTTATCTTATTTCTTACGTGGCAAATTTCATCGGAATGCCCACCAGTTCATCATTTACCCAGTTGTAGCAAAACTAAACCTCGATGAGTTTTATGGCAGCCGGAACCAGCTGCGTTCTCCTTTCTGTCGTCGTCTCTCTCCACTCCTCTGTGGAAGCTTGTAGCCACAACCCTACCGACCTGAAGGTCTCTTAAGGCCCCAAGGTCCCGAGGTTCTCTCTCTCTTTCTAACACGCATCTCTTATTTTGCACATGTTGATTTATACATTATGGATGAATCGAATTCAATCGTTTGTCGCTATATCTAATGCTTACTGTTGCAGACCTTGGTGGAGCTGCTTTTGATCCCGATCTGCCCATGGGAAGGGAGATGAATCATTTCGTGCCTCATAACAATAAGCAGGGCACTGTTGGAGAGATGAGTGGGCCCTCCATCTCCGTTGCTTGCCCTAGGCCTCGCCGAATCGGCGCATTGAATCCCTTCCCTTTGGTGAGCCAACAGATCGTATCTACGATTCGGAGCGTCAAGTACGGATCAACCTCAATTAACTCCCGATTTTATATCTATTGCTGTTTCAGAGATCTAATAGTTGTTCGTTATTTATTTATTTATTTTAGTGACAGGAGCCTGACGAGATAGCCGACTCTGTGGCAGGGGAAGTTCTTGACGTCATTCTCACCGAGGTAAACCCTTTCTGTTTGTCTAGTGCATATGATTTCTGTTTGTAGGATTTTGTTCTTTGTTTACACTAAGAAGATACAAAATGAAGAATTTGAGTTTAGGTGCTCTGTATTTTTGAAGTTTTCACACGCTAGAACTTTGGCAAGACTCGATTTCTATATTTCATCATGAAGCATAATGATAGTAGGAGATTAAGTTATACTATTAGCTTTGTTACTTTTTTGCTCATAGAATATACAAAATGAAGAAGAACTTGAGTTTTGGTATTTTGTGTTTACGAAGGTAGAACTTTGGAATTTTGAGTTCTATATATCATGATGAAGCATAATTATAGCAGGGGCACTATTCTCACGACGAGCTTTACTGTTTGTTTGCCTGTAGAAGCCACAAATTGAACAAGAGTTTAAATTTTGGTATCACGTGCTTTTGTAGTTGTAAAGCTCTACAGCTTTGGTAAATCGGCATTCTTTAATGTGAATTCTCCATCTGCTGTCTTCTATTCAAGTGTTGACTGCTGGCCTTCACAAGTTAAGAATGATAAGTGTCATTTTACGCACAAGAAGAAGAAATAGTCTCGAAACTTGGTGCTTTGTGTTCTTTTTCAGGGGTAATTCTGTCTTTTTATTTGGCAACAGGGATGGCAATTGGCTGGCCTAGGACGGGTGTTGTAATACAAAGATCTGTACTTAAAAAAAATAGACGTAGGCCCAGACTCGGATTTGTGAAGGTCTATAATGGAATCCTTGCACTTGACTCTATTAATACTCCTTTACCCAACCCGGACCTATAAATGCAGACCTGTAATCTTTTGTAAATAATTTTATAATTCAAAACTTGTAAATATTTGAAATAAACAATATAATCTCAAAAAAATATTATTAGAAGTAAGAAAATCTAATATAATGTATTAGTTTTATAAATATTAAAAGTTATAGTATGAAGAAAAATTAAAATTACTATAAATAATTATATATATATTTGGGTCTTGATACCATAGTTCCATCCCGCTCCAGACTTGTATAGTACTCATATATATATAAAAGTTATAGTATGAAGAAAAATTAAAATTACTATAAATAATTATATATATATTTGGGTCTTGATACCATAGTTCCATCCCGCTCCAGACTTGTATAGTACTCATATATATATATATATGAGTAGTATACAAGTCTAGAGCGGAATGGAACTATGGTATCCAGACCCAAACTCAAACGCATCCAAATACTCATTTAATTATCCAAACCCATAGTCAAATTCATTTAGTAGTGTTCAAACGTAAATCTATCTGGGTAATTTTCCTGGTACCCGATTAATCTGGGTTCAATTGCCATCCCTATTCGGCAAGTAATGGAAGTGCATTCAGTGATTCAGATCATTTGCTCTGTGCTATGAGAAAATTTTTGTTGTACTAGGTAGCTTTTTCGTAATTATAACTAGTCGCACTGAAAATTTGATTCATGACAATATGACAGGATAGTTGCAGTGCGGGAAAATCCAATGCTCTAGTAGCTTCTTCACCACCATTTTTTTTTGGGACTCCGCCAAGTAGGGCTTCAAATCCTCTAATCCGGGACTTGCAGTTTTGCAGTCACGACTATGCTCCTTCGCCACAAGCATCATTTTGGCAATGCCCTCACCTTCCACTTCACGTAAAAGTGGCTCATGCACTCCCATAACCTTTGGACAGAAGCCAGCTGCAGTGAGAATTGAGGGATTCAATTGCTTCTCTGCCGTTGCCTAAATAAATAAAGTACAAATAAAGTAAATGCCTTCTGTAAATAGTCCCCTTGGAAGCGGAGGAGGATCAGAAGAGGTGAATTTATCTTTGGGAGAGAGGGCCCAATCTATTTGTCTCTGTTTTCTGTATGTACAAGGTTGAATTGTTCATTTTGTCAGTTTTCCGTGGAATCAAATTGTGTACATTTTATTAATCAGGTAAACAATAGCAGTTAATATTCTAATAATACAAGAGATAGGAAGAAGTCCTTTCTCTTGGACAGGGATTATCTTTTCCTCATTTTTTCTTTTACGGATTAGAGATGGTAGGTTGATTTGGACTCTATATATATTTTTAGATTTATCACTCTGGCCCTCACAGTAACTGTAATTAGGAGAGAGGAGTTCTGAGATATCGGTCCCTCTCTTTTTTTTTTTCTTTTTTTTTTTGTTTATGGTGTGACTGGTGGTGAGACTTTGTATATTATGCCTAGCAGAAAGCAAAGAAGTTCCGCTTGTGTCACGTCTGATGCCAAACAGCAGAAAGGTGCATGGTGTGTTTGGATGATGTTTGCCAAAAATTGAGCGGAAAGAAGAGTCAAACAGTGGATAGAAACCAAAAATTCTGTTTCATACTAGATCGAAAACTAAAAGAACAAGATTATAATTACAAATTTAGAAAAGAATGGGCAAGCTCCAGAAGAAATAAACAAAAACACGAAGCACGGCTGAAGGACCTCATGCTTCGGGTGCAACTTGTACTGTGTCTTGTTGTAGGGTGGACTGGGGAAATTATCGTTGGTTGATTTGAAGCAGAGGATGAGCTCAGAGATGGAGGGGAAGATGGTGGGCCTGCGTAAACTGGAAATCTTGAAAAGGCCGGCGTGGTGGCTTGACTGTTATTTCCTGCACCACGGATTTATTATTTACATTAGATAAGATTGAGTAGAAATTCAAACTTTTAAAAATAATCAATGGAGAAACTGTAAATTACCTGAGCATTGTATGTGAGAATAATTCACTAGACTGCAATTGATAAACGTAGGATGATTAGTTGAGAGAGAAACATTGAACTTGTAAATAATAGGGATAATATAACGGATCCAAACAATTTTGTTAACTGAGGCAAATTATTATTTCCTAAATTTAATGGGGACTTATTATTTTTTTCTATAAAATTTGCTGGGTGTAAATTTACATATAAACCTTAATTTTGAATAAAAAATTCCATAAAATGCAAAAATATATGAATCTTTGTGTAGAATTTACTTATATAAGGATGGACTGATAACATCCTTATAATAAAAGTAGTAAACAAAGGATGGATCTTATATTTTTAATTATTTATGAATAATAACAAACCACCTTTGTTATTGTATACGAATAAAATTCTACATATATTTTACCTGCTAAAGATTTGACTGCCAGAATGGCCTTGATAGACACAAGCAGAGACATTGCAGCCAAACTCTGTGCACACCTCCTCTCTGGCCATTGAGAAGGTTGGAGCCTTTGCACTGTAAATCGGAGCAAGACATGACGATGCTAAAAGGCCAACACTGCAAACTGGGGTGCAGGGTCAAATATGGAAAATATGTCATGTATAGCAATTTCGTGTTTGTATTCTTTTTCTGTTTTGTGTTTTGTGTTCATAACTTGCTCGGGCATAGAAAACACTGAAAATTTGGACAACTTTGTAAGGGTTTTCTTATCATGGTGTTCGAAGCATGAGAGAATTGGATTTTTGTTTTGTTTAGTTTGTAAAAAGTTTGGTTTAGATTTTCTAAAACAAATTTCTTATTTTTCCATCTTTCTTAGGGATCTTATGTGATAAATTAGGTTTTTACCTCAAAACCAAACTCCTAGATTTTGATTTTTGAGTAAAAATACTTTCTGATAATTCTGAAAACTTTTTTTGCCATTTTCTACAATGGTTTTGTTTTTCGAAAATTCTCCCAAAAACTTGTCAAATATTTTTTTCTGTTTCAAAAAACATAAAAAGCAGTTTTTGAAAGAGAGGATATGTTTTCATAGCACTTGGCCACTGAACACTACTTAACATTGACGTTAAGATTTATGAGGAGAGCGTAATTGGGTCACCTGAGATCTAGGGGTGCACATCTGCAGATGATACAGTCGTTGGCAGTTAAGGCATAGGAGCCGTTTGGGACAGTCAGGCTCTCTTGTTGCCAATTCAGATTTGCTGATGAACATGCTGCGTTGATTATTATGACTTTATCAGCCTGAAGTTTTAAGTAAAACACGTAATATTAAAAATTATGTAATAAAGAATATATATATATATGTATATAATATGTATATATTGCAAATAATTACAGGTGTGTCCTCAAATTTATTGAATTTCCCAAACGGTGGGGGGAGAATGCAAGAGTTAAGGGCGTGAAATTAATGAAACCTAACCTCTTAGATACAAATAAATGGGTTATTTATATAATTCAACCAGCGATTTTTAGTTATAAAAAATCATCTTAATATTAATTAAAGACTTAATTTTTATTTTTTAAAATTACGATACTTATAATTATTCCTTCAAATGTAATAAATACAGGTACCGGGTAGTGGAATGGCAAGTACATCCCCAGGCCAAGACCGTTAACGTCCTTCAAATCCGCAACGGTTGTCTTGTACTGCGCCACAATACTGCTGAGAGTCTCCCTCTTAGCCACCGCATATGACATATACACGGCGGCGGCGACACCGTCGCTGTTGTTGAAGCACACGCACGGTAGCCGAATCACAAGCCTCTGCCCACTCGCTAACTGCTTTTCCTCATCTACGTACCTCGGACATATAAAATCAATTCTCAGTGTACACACAGATTGACATTATTCATTTATATTTTTTTTTGCAAATTATTAACTAATAATTTTCATAAAATTATAATATGTTTATAATAGATACCACTTCGTATATCTAACTTAGTTGAAATCTATTATGAAGCGTTCGGATGATATAATAAGATAAAATAAGATAAATTTATTTTATCTTATCATATGTTCGGATGGTATATGTAACAGTATGAGATAAAATACTAATAAAAATATATATCAATATCTATGAGATAAGCTATCAGACTATTTAGGATGAGATAAAATTTATCCCCCTTTATCAGTGTTTGAATTTTTTTTAATTAGACATAAATTTTCTTATTATTCAATTGTACAATGGTCAAATTAACCTCACTCCCTCCCATTCTCCTCCTTCTCCATCGTGAAACTAGTCTTCCTCCTCGCTCTCGATCTTCGGTTGCAATTTCGGCTTTGCTTGCGATGACAACTGGGCTGATTGCCATTGTCCTTCACCTATGAGTGTGAAGAACTCCGACCAAAAGCATTTGTTCAACTGTTGCGCGTAGGCAATGAATTTGGAGCCCAAATCGGAGGCGTAGATGGCATCTTGGGCTTGAGGGAAGGGCATGGACTCAACGTGAGTGGAGGTGAAGTAGAGGGAGGAAGGGTCAGAGGGGTGGGGAGTGACGAAGTTAGCACAGCCAGTGGGGGTGAGGTGGAGGGAGACGGTGGAGGGGAGAGAGCACAACAAAGGTGGTCGTCAAAGGTCCAAAGGGAGGTGGCAGACCAGTTGACAATAGTGGTGAAGGAAGGCGCTTCACCTGGGATCCAAGGCTGGGTTCCCTCACTTCATGCCAAAGGAGGGTGCTCCACTTGGTCTTGACGTGATTGCATTTTTGGTCTGTCTCTTCTCGCCCCCCCCCCCTCTCTATCATTTTTTTAAACTCATATTATAACAGAGGATTTTTTAGTAAATTCAAATTTTATTCTGAATTTGATATCAACCAAACATGAAATAATATATTGGCCAAAAATTTTATCTCATTTGTTATATGTTGAACTGAACGCATAATAAAACTATTTAATTCAAATAAATTTATCTAATTTTATCCTATCACTATATATCCTATCATTCCACCCGAACGCTCCTTATAATGAATAGAATTGGTAATATATATATATATATATATATAGGCGCGCACACACTGTGTCCCATCTCCAATTTAAAATTGCCGTGTCTAACCTCAACTAGTAACGGAATGAAAACGAAATGGCCATCATTATATTAAAAGTAATTAATATAAATTGGGCTATTTTGTTAAAATGAAATGACTGTTTTGCCATTTTTAGGGGTACCAAGAAATAAACGTGAATTAAGGACCTCCTCTCACTCACCAATACCATTAGCACTTCGAATTTGATCCACCGACACCAGCCGGCCGAATCCCTCCGAAATCAAATCCAGCGTGTCGGCGGTGTGGACGTCATACACAATTGAGACTGAGCGGTGGATACCATCCACGCAAGGGCACGAGATTGGGACTTTGATTAGGGTTTTGGCGGGAATAATTTGGTAGTTTCGCAGCGGAAGGTTTGTTGGATTGAAGTTGTTGGAGGCGAGGAGGGAGGAGAGATTGAGCTGGAAGCGGGAAGCGACGTCGGAGAGCTTGGAGGCCCAGGGGAGGCGGTAGGCTAGGAGGGCGGGGCAGGAATTGCCGGTGCTGCACGGTTCGATCACCTTCTTTGCGGAGGAGAGTTGGGAGGAAGGGAGGAGCATGAAGCAGAAGAAGAAGAAGAAGAAGAAGAAGAAGAAGAAGAAGATGGATTTTTGTGCATGTCTTCTCATTGCTAGCTAGCTTTGTTTCATGGAAGGTGCGTTTGGCTGGCAGTGAAGTAAAGACATTGTTATCTTTCTGGCTTCTGGGTTGGTGATTACTTTGAAATTAAGTTGGTGGGTGGTTGCATTATTTGATAGAGGAAGGAGGGAGATGTGGATAGGGATTTTGCCAAACGCATGGCACATGAAGGGAGGGTGTGAACCCCACAAGGCCTCAGAGAAAATTTTGAAGGTAATTAGTTTTAATTATTTTGAATTTTAATTACCAATTTTTATATATTATTAACTAGAATTATTTCCTGCTTTTTTTATAATTAATGAATGTTTTGGGGCATGACATTAATTAACTATAAAAATTTAATAAACTAACCCTTTATAATTTAAAACTTTCCCTTTTAGCATCCAAGAATAAAATAAAAATCAGAAGAGTACAATTTTTTGAGTTAACAAGCAAGAAACCACAATTGTCTCTTAGAAATTTGAACTTGATTAACAAGATTATAATTCGACGTTCATAGGCCCATCAATTATTGGTTTTGGGCTTTGTTTGGACCCGACCCATTAGCATATGAATTTTAATCAATAAATAAGCAAATCTGAGCTAAAAATTCATGGCCTACCTAATTCCCATGTAATAAGAAGAATTTTAGGGGTTGAGTTATTTCTAGGGTTTGTTTGGTACTTCCAAATGTGAGATGACGGCCATACGTTGCCCCATTCTGGATAGTTGGACTCATTATCAACCAAACACAAAGGGGTAGCTATTTATTGTACATGTGTTTTATATGGGTTGGATTTTCTTTTTCAATTTTATTTGCTTTCCACTCCATGAATTGATTTTAATGTTTGTGCTTTTTTAATTATTTATTATTTAGCATTTATGTTACATCATGGTCCGTTTTATATTAAAATTTTAAAAGCAGTGAATATTATTGGATGAAGCTCATGGATATTCTGTGATTAACTAAATCTTAATTTAGTCGAAACAGAAATAGTATTGTAGTTTCGTACATATGGGTTGGATTTTCTTTTTTCACTTCTTGTTGATTGGTTATAAGAAAGAAAAGAAAAAGCTGGAGCCATATGTTTACAAAGAGTGAAAAGAACCTATTTCTGGTTAGCTGCTAATTAAAAATAATGTAAAAATGTAACTTTGCTATCAAAATTAGTTGGACAGATGTTTCAATCAAACACTTACGTTACGTTTGTAGACTGAATAGGGCGAATAACCATAAATTATTTATTTTTATTTATTTTCAGTAAATTAGATAATGATGTCATATAAAAAATTTAGATAAAATAATTATTTAATTAAATTTAAATAAATTATAAATGAGAGATAAAATAATTTTATCTACAATTTACTTAATTTTTGGACAATATTACTCATATTATTTGCAAGCCAAATTATTAAAATATATTATTTTTTTCTTGGACAATATTATGCAGTGTTTGCTAGCTCTCGCCATCCGACATCACCGACTACCATGGTCTGCTATCATTGCCTACACCCAACATCGCCATCCCTCTCGTACAAGAACGAAAAATGATATTTTTGTAAGTTACCTGTTTATTCGTGTTTTATCTAAGTTTAAGTTAAAATTAATTCAATAAAATATAATAATCTAAAACATTATACACTAAAAATACTTTATTCATGTACTACTCTATGTTATTACATCTAATCTACCTTTATTTAACCTGACTTATCAAATAAGCTCTTATTATAGAAAAGATATTAATATTTATGATATAATATTAGGCTAGCCATTTAACAAACAACAATGACCACATGCAAGTCCATTGCTCGCACGCCTAGTTGATAAAAATATATATTGTACTTGAATAATATTTCACTATATATAATTTAAAAAAAAAAACTTTCTATTCCCATCTCTTTACGAGAAAGTCACTAAAAAACACGTATTTTTATGATGCGTGTATACATGCATTATACTTAAATAATATTTTTGTACGTAATTATATTTTATTTTTAGAAAAGTTTGGTAGGAATATTGTGAAAACCTTCTATCAATATTAAAAAAGTGTGCATTTCAAACTTATCAATTATGTGGCTTTATAATATGTGAAAGAAATTAAATTATTTTTGAAGTTATACAAATAAAAATTTTTTTGCTGTCTATCAGAGCAGTCAAAGGAATGGATTTTAATTTAAATTTAGTTTATATTTGATCTGATTATTTAAAATTTTTAATTATTTAAAAATTCAATAGACACAATTTAATTAGAAAAATCTATAATCTAAAATAAATATAATGAATAATTTTAAGTTAAATTCAGATATAATATATCACCATCAAATATCATGCTAAACTATTAATTAGAATTTTCTTTGTAGGAACTCGTATTTAAAAGGTTACATTTGTCATGAAAGTATTTACCCCTAAGATTCAATATTTGAATATTAGGAAGTTACTACTAATATTATTGGTAAAAATAATCTGAGTTGGTTAAACATTGCATTTCAAAAATGTTTGATATATTTAATATGTTGGATTGTTGAAATTTTTAATATTTTTAAATTATCATTATTGATAATTACTTTTTTTCTAATCAAAATTTAATATTTAAATTTTGATATATTTATTTTAAATCATTCAATCATTTTTTTAGTTATTAATAATTTATATCATATAACAATATAAAAATACATATTAACATATTTTATTTATATGTCATTATATATTTTAAAAGAAAATATAATTTATATGTAAAAAATATATTTACAAAAAATTAAAATAAATAACATATAATCCATTTTGTATTTCTAAATTATCTATAATATAATCATATTATTTATATAACATAATTTTAACGAATTCACAATTTTTATCAAATAATAAAACATAATATTATAAAAAAAATGTATATTATCTTCATACAAAATAATGTCTTAATATTTTCGCCCCATGTGCACTCACGGACGCCATACACCTCGCAAATGCGTGGCACGTCTTCAGGGATAGCGAATTATGTAATTTTAGTTTAGTTTTAATTAAGTCACGCCCGGACCCATTTCTAGTACCGGTGGGGCAAGCCATGGAGTGTGAACGGCAGAAAAGGGGGACGGCGGTGGCAAGGGTTGCGATGGCCATTGACTTTTTTTTTCTTCTGTCTCAAAATTTAATTTGAAATTTTTTTGGTTTTCTTTTATATTTTTTTGTCCTCTCAAATTCTTATAAGTAATTCTTTTTTAAAAATCTATTTGACAATGTCTAAAATATTTAAAATCTATGCGTATTGGTGACACTTGAATTCGTGATACTTTAGATGAGTTGGTGATGCAGGAGAAACAAAATGAAATTTGATGATTGAAGTGAAACTAAATGAAAAGTCGAGTGACCAATGTCGTAATTTACCCAGGTTTAACTGCTATGAAGTACCAGCCCCATGAACACTCAAACAAAGTCATTCTTCTCTTTGCGGAAAGTCTTGGATTGTAACAGGGTGTTCATAATTCGGTCGCATCCGGTTAGGTACTTAAATTTATATGAAATTATATTTTATAATTTATAATTTGTAAAAATTAAATTAATATATAAATTATAATTTGATTTGATTTTAAATTATAGTTTATAATTTATAAAAATATAATAAATTAAATTTGCTATTTATATAAAAAAAATTTGAATCTTAAAAAAATTTCAACAATAATTAATTTAAAAATTTTATTATTTATTAATTAATCACGGTAGTTACATGTTATATTATAAATATTTTTATACAATATAATAATAAAAACTACTCTCCAAAAAAGAAAAAATAATTAGTTATTTAAAGAAATATAAATATAAAAAATAATAAAAAAAAGTATGTAACCAAATAATAAATATGAACTATATATAAAAATTATTTTTTTATTTTATACATATATATAAACTATTCAATTTTATTAAATATTAAGTATCAAAACAAACTATATAAATTTTTTTATAAATAAAATAAAATCAAATTAAACTATAATTTAATCAATTTAAACATTTTAATTGGATTTGTCCAATATGTGGTTCATAACTTTCCCATAAAATTCTACAACGTTATGAGCATGAAAGGAATGCCAAAGTAACCAAAAATAAAATACAAAGGCGAAAATATTAATACTTGATAATAGGTTAACAATTTTGTAAAAGTAATGTAAATAATTTAAAAAGATTATTAAATAATTAAAAAGAAAAGAAAAGAAAAGAAAATCCACGTGATTTCAATTAAACAAAAAAAAATTCTCCAGTAAATTAATGAAAGATTATTCCCTGATTGATTCTCTTGAATCAGCATGATCGACCACATGGTAAAATTCTATGGTCTTTCGGACAACAATTGTCAAAATGGTACCCACTAATCATGCACGTGTCACTAACCAGCGTTGCGAGATGGGCCCACCCACTCCAGAAAGAGAAGTTACGTGTCGGGTGAAGACAAGCGCAGGCACGGAGACGTGACCATGTTGGGTGCTTGATACTGGCGACTTGCAGAGCCCCTAATATCTAATAAGGAGGATAACGGGGAGGGCACGGGTGCCCACCTCTCTCACAGAGGTGGGCCCAATAATTGCCGAGCCCTCTGCACTGTCGGGAATCGGCTCGGAGTTCGAGACCCTCTTCAGACATAAAATGGGGAGGGTACCGGTGTCTTTAGGGGCACCGGAGTATTTTCCAATAAATCTAAGGAATCGTTGATACGTGTTTAAATATTTAAAACAAATTTATTTTATTTTTTATTTTTTAAATTTAAAAATAAAATATAAAATAATTAATTTTTTATATTTTATTTATAAAATTTTATTATTTAAATTAAATATAAATAAAAAATAAAAAAAAATTGAAATATTAATTTATATACATGTCATTTATTAATTAGATTATTACAGTGCTATTTTACAAGATCAACTCCTAACATCAAATCAATTACGTGACAAAACAAATTACTTAGACGACGTGACGTAATGTGGCTGGGTGACGTGGCCATGGAAACTCTCAGTGGGTGGTCGG